CCAAAGCAGACAGGGTTATCTCAACCTTCTCGTTCGATCCTAAACATCTGCCAACCCCACAGAATCTCCATCGAGGAGAGGCCGTCAGGCCACCCGGGTCGATCTCTAAAACGACCTAGGCATCTGTCGGGTTACAGGTAAAGGAGCAGTGGAATATCACAAGAGGGCTATGCCGACCCCGTCACGAACGACGGACCCAGATTCCACTCGATCATACCCGTTAGTGAACTCACCGAGCGCGTCACTCGAGCCCGAGCGATCGGGACAAGGGACAAAACTCAGCCCCTCCAGGTGTGAGAAACCAAGGACGGGGTAACGCACACAACTCAAACCGACCCCTACCAAAAGCCTGACATGGCTCAGGGGCTCAAGGCACACCAAAAACCTAGGTCTGTGACCCCGAACTCGCCCCATCAATCGGCTATGCTTCGACTGCACACCAAACGCCTGGTCTACGACCCCGAACTTGCCCCATCCCTTGGCTATGCTTTGACTGCACACCAAACGCCTGGGTCTACGACCCCGAACTCGCCCCATCCCTCGGCTACGCTTCAACTGCACACCAAACGGCTGGGTCTATGACCCTGAACTCACCCCGTCAGGATCCACGAGCTTCGGCTCGCCCGATCCCTAAACTAACTAACTAACTGCCTCGGCTGCACGGGCTGCACCGAGGCCAGGATCCACGACTCCGACTCGACCGATCCCACGGCACGCACTGACGCCAGGACCCGCGAGCTCCATCTCGTCCGATCCATAAACTAACTATCTCGCCTGATCCGACGGCGCACACCGACGCCGGGATCCACGAGCTCTACCTCGCTCGATCCCAAAACTAAAAATGTCTCGGCTGTGCAACGACGCCTTGGTTGACGACTCCGTCTCGACTAAAAAACACGCACACACACCCGCTAACAAACACCCCTCAGATGATTATGCCCGAATCACCCGGGGCTCGGTGGCTACACCCGCTGACAAAACAAAAATCTCCGCCGCTGGCAACACAAAAAACCCCCAAACAATTCTACCCGAATCGCCCGGGGGCTCGGGGGCTACACCCACGGGTGCGCTCGCGCACACCCACCGATGAAACAAAAACCTCCCCCGCTGGCAACACGAAAACCCCCCGAATGATTCTGCCCGAATCACCCGGGGGCTCGGGGGCTACACCCGCGGGTGCGCTTGCGCGCACCCGCCGTCAAGGCAAAAATCCCCCAGACGATTCTACCCGAATCGTCCGGGGGCTCGGGGGCTCCTGTCGGGTTCATAAACCCGGGTCCCTCGCGGACCAGCTTTCCAATAAAGGCTCGGCCCAAGCAGACAACGCGCAGCTCGTGGACCGGCCCAGGTATCTAAACGACAGGCCGGAAGGGTGATCCAGTCACCAACCGAAAGGTCTGGCCGAGGAAGAATGGCGCCCGTTTTCCGCCTTTGGCCCACCTCTCCGACCGGAGCGCTCGTTTCGATCTCCAGCCCGCCTCCGGACGGCCTTTCCGGCCGGAAGGTCTGGCCAAAGCACTACTTCCGACCCCGACCCGTGTCTCCGACCGGGGATGCGCCAAAACCCTGCTCACCGCTCTTCTCCGACTGGCGCGATCAGAGCCAACTGGGACTAACCGAATGGAGACGCCCGCTCGGTAAGGACCAGGGAACGGACGAAGAAAGTAGGTAGGGCGCACAAGTCAAACCGCAATACCAGGGTCCGTACCCTGTACACCTGCAGAAAACAGTACTCTGTAACCCTCCTGATACAATAGAGTCCAAACAGTGTTGTAGGCATCGACATTTTTCCCTACAGTATTATGGGCGTCATTAACTCCCATACGGTAAGGCTCCCCTCAAATGCCTCTGGACATCAACAGTGTTGTGGACGCTGACTTTAACCGTACCGGGCGAACATGGTAAAACCCCTTGCATGTCTCTAGGTATCAACAGTGTGGCAGGCTCCGACGTCTGCCATATCCGAAGAAGACAACACAACCTTCCACGTGCATCTGACGTTCAACAGTATTGTAGATGTCTACCATCGTCCTATACCCGCCGGTGTAGGCAACAAGGCTTAATAACATACGTACTCTCTCTCACTGTAAGACCATCCCCTTTATCTATAACTCTTCCAAACACATAAGTTCATCCAAGTTCATTAAGTCGATTCAGATCGATCAAGTTCACTAGTTCACAGCCACAGAATCGCTAGGTTCGAACCTCAAGCACACGTTTAAACACTTAGCTTATAGCGGGGCTCCCGTCACTCTCGGCCCTTCCGACCGAAGTCTGACCAGACCTCTTGTACCCCATCTTTCTCCTTCTCGTTTGTAACCCCACTGCAAACTTCGAGCACATAGGCTCATGAATAAAGTCATCAACCGACTCAAACTGGATGTAGGGCACGTTGACTGAACCAGTATAAACCCTGTGTCATTGAGTGCTAGACCCCTCTAATCACAACGTACGATAAAACTATAAATATTTACTTATTGATCATTTTGTACACCGACACACTACCTATCAGTTACTCTCACTCCTACTTTGCAATGCGACGCTAACAAATTCCGTTCCACAACGCATGCCATCCGACCCCAAGTTTTATTACCGACGTGGCCGCCGTCAGCCCGTCACGCGACGCAGCTCCGGCAAGCTAAGGCCGGCCACACGGCCTGGGGTTCGATCGGTCAAGCGGAGGCAATGCTGGTCAGCCCAAAACCGTTCTGAGGCGGCGCTCCCGGCCGGCACACGGCGCTGTCAGTGGTCATCTCCGTCCCTCTTGATCCACGGCGCGGCCGTGCGTTTCGTTTCTTACCACCCCAGAAAACCAACCACCTCTGCTGCCTTTTCTGCAAGTGCCTGCCACCATCGCTCTACAGCTACAGCGGATAAAAACGCTTGCGTGCACGCCGCAGCCGCCACGTCTTTCTCTCTCTTTTTCTTGGCGCTTAGCCGCTTACCTCTCGTAATGGCATCTTCACGTTCGCGTTGCGGTACTATGTTGAAACAGTCAGCGTTGCTCTGCTTGCTTGTGTAGCCGAAGCTGCTATCGCACTCTACTAGCCGGCACTCGGTACTAGGGGACGCTCCCAGCGCTGGTCTCTAGACTTCCCCCGTCCGTTCCGAGCAGCCACATAGGTAAGTCGTCCGACGCCTGTTGCAGGCTAAGACCTCGCGATCGCAGCTTTGCTTACTCCCTTACAAGCCAACGCACAGCAACCAGCATTGGCTTTTTTTTCTTAGATTTTTCCAAACCAGCGTCAAATCATTTGTCTTCTTATTTATTTTGTTTTTCCAAAATCAATACTCGTCTCTGTCTTTTGTTGTATGAATAACCTCAGCAGAAAGAAAAAAAAATTAAGTTAGCTCATGAGCCAAACGAGCCAGCTCGAGCTGCCAAACAAGCCGAGCCGAGCCAGTTTGATAACGAGCCGAGCCTGCTCGATATCTAGCCCTACGTGGGATAAAATCGTGGAGAATTCGCCACCAAAGCTTTTAATCTTCACCGGTACTTCAGCTTCCGCAACCTCTTCCAAGCTTGGCTCCTAGCTGCACCACTAGCTAATTGCACCTTGGCCCGAATCTTACTCTCCCATCGACGGTGATAGGCTGAACGCACCGAGAACGTCCCATTCCTGTTAAAATGCCTTACTGTTACTCCTACTGCTGGCTTACTGTTACTGCGAAAAGGCTAGGCACTGCACGCAGCGCCACACTAACAATTCCGTCTCAGGGCTCGCTCGATCAGTCAATGGCCTCAGCCGAGGCAATGCTGGTCAGCCCAAGACCGTTCTGGGGGCGGGGCTGGCCGCTGGGGCGGCGCTCCCGGCCGGCACACGGCGCTGTCAGTGGTCACCTCCGTTGCTTTCAGTCAACGGCCACGGCGCGGCCGTGCGTTTCCTACCACCCCAGGAAACCAACCACCTCTGCTGCCTTTTCTGCCTGGTGCCTGCCACCATCGCTCGGAGTCGGAGTCGCTCTACAGCTACAGCTACAGGCGATAAAAACGCTTGCTTGCACGCCGTCCTGCTTTTATTTTTGGCGCTTACCTCTCGTAATGGCATCTTCACGTTTGCGTTGCGCGCTTGCGCTGCGGTACTATGTTGCAACAGTCAGCGTTGCGCTGCTCTGCTTTGTGTAGCCGAAGTTGCCATCGCACTCGGACGAGACACGAGAGAGGTCCCCGGCCGGGGCCGGCGGCCGCTTGCTTTGTCCAATTTCATGGAGAATTTTCTCCTCTTCTCCTTTCGGTGAACGCGGCGTGTCGAGGTTCCAGACAAACTACTGAGTCCAGTTTGAGTGAGTAATAAGTAATTACGCGGAGGCAAGTAACCGCGCCGTAATAATTCTGTATTTCTGTTGGTGAATACGACTGGCGTGAACAAGCAGGCAGGCCGGTCAGCGCCGGCACCGCAAGAGCGGGGGAAGAAAACAAGCTTCCTCAGGCCGCGAATCGTGCAAGTCGGAGCCATTCACACTCACACCCAATCAGAAAAGATCTCTTCTTAAAAAAATAGAAAAAGAGAGAGAAGAAAATCGAAAATCCTATCCTATAAAGGATATATATAGGAGTAATCATGTACTATGTCATCGGTCAGCACGATGTCATTGACACGATGAGAGGCCGAGAGCCCAGCGCAGGTGAGGCGGATGCTTCAAGCTTTCTCTTCTTGGTAGGTTGCTGTCACTCTGAGGCCCCGAGGCACTGCTAGCTGAAAGCCGAAAGAAGGAAGAATCCTCGGCGGGCGGCAGGAGAACCACCGTTGATCAGCAGCAGCCACAGCACCCAAGCAAGCTAGCAGGAGGCGACCGGGCAAGGGGGCAGGGCAGGCCGCGGCCGGCCGGGCGGGTCGGCCACCCCGCCTTGTCGCTGTCCGACCCGCATCAGCAACTCGCCGAGTTGCAGGGCACAAGAGGGCTGCTCCATCCATGAGGCAACCATGCTCGTGCTCATCAACAGATATTTCAGGAGCAGGAACAACAGTAACAACCCGGCGGGAGGAGGCGGCGACGAGATGGCGCCGGCGGCGGCCTCGGCGGACGGCGATCACCTCCTCTGCCTGCCGGGCTGCGTTCCCGTGCGCGCCAAGCGGGCAACGGCGGCGGCGGCGGCCACGGTCACCACCACGGTGAGGGCGTCGCGGCACAACTTCGTCAAGGCCGCGGCGTCGGGCCTGCTGGCGGGGGCGAGCTTCACCAACCACGAGTCGCTGCCGCCGCTGCCGGACGCCTACGCCGATTTCGCCGCGGCGTTCCCGCAGTACGCCCAGGGCGGCGCGCTCGGCGCGCGGGCCGATGCCATCCGGGGCGAGGAGTACCAGCACCTGGACCGCCACGTGTGCCTCGACTACACCGGCATCAACCTCTTCTCGCACGCCCAGATGAACTCCTCCCTGCCGTCCACCTCCTCCGCCCCGCCCGCGTCCGCCTCCGCGTGGCAGCCGCCCTTCTTCGACATCGCGTACAAGCCCACGAGCCTGCGCACGCAGGTGCAGCAATGCGGGGACGCCGCGGCGGCGGCGGGGGGCGGCATCGGCGCTGCCGTCACCAGGCGCATCATGGCGTCGCTCAAGATCCCCGACGACGAGTACGCCATGGTGTGCACCGCCAACAGGACCACCGCGTTCCGCCTCCTCGCGGAGTCCTACTCGTTCCAGCCCGGGAAGCAGCTGCTCCCCGTGTACGACTACGAGAGCGAGGCCGTGGCCGCCATGGCCGACAGCGCTCGCCGCCGGGGCGCCGAGGTCACGTCCGCGACCTTCGCCTGGCCGAGCATGAGGATCCACGGCACCGACCTCCGAAAGCGGCTGGCCAGGGGCCGCCGCCGCGGCGGGGGACGCGGGCTCTTCGTCTTCCCGCTCGCCTCCCGCATGACGGGCGCCCGGTACCCGTACCTGTGGATGAGCGCGGCGCACGAGCAAGGGTGGCACGTCGCGCTGGACGCGTGCGCGCTCGGCACCAAGGACCTCGACACGTTCGGGCTCTCCCTCATCCGCCCGGACTTCATCGTCTGCAACTTCTTCAAGGTGTTCGGCGAGAACCCCTCCGGCTTCGCGGGGCTCTTCGTCAAGAAGTCCAGCCTCGCCGCGCTCGAGCGCTCCGTCATCGCGCGCAGCATCGGCATCGTCAGCATCGTGCCCGCGCGCCGCTGGTCGCTGCACGACGGCTACTCCACCGAGCTGGAGCACTCGCGGAGCTTCCCCAAGCTCGCCGCCGACCCGGCGGCCCTGGACGACGTCGACGTCGAGACCACCAGCTCCTTCTCTGGCCCGCTCAGCTCCACCGCCATCACTCGCAGCAGGACCCTGCAGTCTGACGCGGCGGAGAACGGCGACGCCCATGCCCCGGAGATTCGCGAGGTCGACGACAGCACGGCAGAGAACGGCTTCTACTCGGAGGATCCCAGAGCAGAGAACGGACATGAAACAGGGGAGCAGCTGGCCAAGGAGGAGGAACACGGGAGCGTGATGGAGGTGGAGTGCCGGGGCCTGGACCACGCGGAAGCGCTGGGGCTCATCGCCATCGCCAACCGGCTGCGGTGCATCAGCAACTGGCTGGTGGTGGCCTTGCAGAAGCTGCGGCACCCGCACGCCGATAACGGCCACCAGCTGGTGAAGCTGTACGGCCCGCGCGTCAAGTTCGACCGGGGCCCGTCGCTGGCGTTCAACGTGTTCGACTGGAAGGGCGAGCGGGTGTCGCCGCTGCTGGTGCAGAAGCTCGCAGACCGCCACAACATCTCCCTCACCTGCGGCTTCCTGTGCAACATCTGGTTCTCGGACAAGTACGAGGCCGAGAGGAGCGTCGTGCTGGAGCACAGGATCGCCGGCGATTCTGTTGCTGTGGGCGCCGGAGGGAAGAAGAGGAAGGACGCCGGCAGCGACGTGGGGATTCTCGTGGTGAATGCGTCGCTGGGGTTCCTGAGCAACTTCGAGGACGCGTACAGGCTGTGGGCGTTTGTGGCCAAGTTCCTGGACGCCGACTTCGTGGAGAAGGAGAGGTGGAGGTACACCGCGCTCAACCAGAAGACGGTCGAGGTGTAGAGCACTCGATAAAAAGAGGAGAGGAGAGCACTGCAGATTGCACCCGGTAGCTTCAGCTCAGCTTGGCATATTGGTACGGTTCAGTTCACTGTAAAGCAGCATTCTTTTGGGATAAACTCGGCCATCCCTTCCAGCCATTCTTTCAGTGTAAACTGTAAGGTGTAAAGTGTAGGTTTTGTTTCCATAATAATGATGATATCATTTGGTATATGAAACCATGAGTTTGTGTCGAGCACAATCACTAATAATAGAATCATAGCACAACCAAAGAGAAAACAAGGGTACAGAGTTTCTGTTTTCAGCAAATATAAGTTCAGTGTTTAGGGTGAACAGATTTGCAGGATGGCGTTAATAGTGCAGTCATCTAGTAACATTATTTTGCTATATTTCCTCGCCGCTATTGGCCATTTGCTACGGCATTGCTAACCTTGGTTTTACGCCAATCAATGTCGTCAGATGCTTTCTTGTCATAGAACCTCCTATACATGGAATCAACTTTTGTAAGGTAGGCTGTGCCAGGTGGCAACAGGCTTGTGTCTTGGCTTGTCTCGAAATCTTTTGCTCCGTAACGGTGCTCCATCAGCTTCAACTCAGGTGACGTCTAGTTACAAACAACTGATCAAATTAGACTGCAAGCAAGGGAACTTCTCAGGTGATGGAATCAACTTTGGGGACAAGTTTGGCAATAAATTTCATTCACATAACTGCATTCAAGAGATATGATGTGCCAAACCAAGGGTGATGCAATGAGCATCACTGCATCTGCCTGTACTAGTTTTTTTGAAATTCCTGTCGAGGCTGCATACCACACTTGACACTTTACAGTTACTATTCTATTTTCTGCGATTTTTATGTAGTTCATAAGGAAACTATTAAGCATTGTATGTTTCCCAATTTCTTTTGATAATGGTATACTATATAACATGAGGGACCAGTAATAATCCCCAAAGTTCTACTGGGCATGCGCTCACCCATGCACACATATAAATAAATACGTGAGGAGTATTAAATCCCCAAACACCTAAATACTTGGCCAGTTCTGGTCAGCAATTATCTGGAATCTAATATAACATGCCAAAGGGAACCACTATTGGAAATGAATTCACCTTTTGTGTCTTAAAAGGGTACTGTGCGCTCTGATAGTTTGCTGCATGATCATACTATAACAAGTTCCCTATCCCATCCTATCAACAAGACTACAGTAGCAGACTGACCGAGAAGGAACCAAGGAATGGAAGACCATACCACATGTCTTGAGTCGAGCTTTGCTGTTACATCAAGCATGGAAGCAATGTTTCCTAGGCTGAAGGGATGTTGTCCCTCATGCAATCTTAATGAGAACAATGTTGATGTCAAGCCACTGCCATATGAGAACATAATGATTCGTTGGCCAGCCTGTATAAGAAGCAAAAATTAGCTGTGCAGGATGAAGATACATAAGTGCATGGAATAAAGGCACAAAACTCACTAGACTGTTGTGCTTGTTGTAGATTACAGATGCCAGTGCTGCATACAGAGATGCCATGTTACCGATTTGTTTTGGAAGCAAAGTTGACGGTTGAACTTTGATGTCATACAAATGCTTTGCAACTTGTTGAGAAGCCTGAAAGTTCATAGGATCAGCTTAGTGCTTACATCAATTAAGCTTTAAGAATTATCCACCAAATAAGAAACAACCTTTTCCAAGTCACGGCTTTAGTAACTTTCTTCACTAGTCAGATTTACAAAAGGTAGAAGCTTCTCTTTAGCATCATTATCAACTGAGCTAGTGTTGAAGAAAGAAAAGAAAATAGATAAGAAGCTTTGCCTGGGGACCAAAAGCGTTGAATAAAGAAAGGGTAACTTGTACCTCCCAAAAGGGAGGTCTTAGAGAACTTCAGAACATTATTTGGTTGACATACCAAAAGGATAAGTATTAATAAGTAGGAAAACGAATGCAATTTAAGCGTAAAGAAAACAAAATGCACCTGCAATTGTGCATGAAATCATTAAAGAAGAGTTGGGCGAAACTCTTCTGCACAAGCTGCGATAATAAATGGAAGTGTTAGCATTCCACATAAATTAGGTGAATGGATGGGAAGAATTAATCAGCTGCTAAAAATTATTAGTATTTGAGCAAGCGTGAAGTCACGATACCTTATTATATGGAGAATGGAACACGCAGTAATCTGCATCAGATATTGAGAACTGTTCTCCGACTAGCTTTTCATACCTAATGTCACTCACCATGCATGAATAGGATGTTACTCAAGACCAATACAATAGTAATCGCAGCAAGCTTACTTGGTACAAAACTGTCTATAACATGAATCTAGAGCCATCAAGCAGCATGTTTGAGATAACTTTCCATCAACAACCTACATAATATAAGGGGCGTACCCAGTGCAGAGAGCTCCCGCTCCGTGCGGGGTCTGGGGAAGGGTGTTAGTGGCAAGCCTTACCCTCGCCTATGCAATGCGAGGAGACCGCGACTCGAACCCGGGACCTTCCGGTCACAGGCGGTAAGACTCTACCGCTTGCACCAAGCCCGCCCTTCAACCTACATAATATAAGTCCAGGAAATAAGCAATGGCACAGAAAATATGATAGATAGCCTGAGAAAGGAATAACGAAAAGTATCACTGTGATTTAGAGAAGTCCCTGTTAGCATGCCAAAGTAATTACAGTCATAGATATGAGAGTGGACATGGCTGAATCCTACCGGGTATTCACTTGCAAGATCTGGCTTGTTGAAATCATAAACATGGGCCATGTGGGAAGCTTTATATTTTCTTTCAAAATATATAGGAGCATCTGGACCAATAAGCATTGCAATAGCAGCAGCAGCCCCTGTAGGACGAGCAGGTCCTTCTGCATAATCCTGAAAAGAAAAATTGCATAAGGTAGTCTAGTGCTAAATGTTGCACAGAGACAGAAGGGGTAGACTTAACAACTAGGTTCCAAAACTAGGCGATTTGAGGTGACAAACCGCGCTGTCTGTGCAAACGACAAGGCCATAACGTCCATCCCATGATTTACTCTCAACCCAATTCACACAGTTCAACAGGGCAGCTGTTCCGCCATAGCATGCATTGCTCGAGTCAACTCCTTCAATGTCAGTATTACCACTTTCCTGTGTTTGTATTTCATAGCAAACATTGACAATGACAGATTATTAGGTAAAACTGAAGTGGATGTAGCTAGCAAAATGATGAATGCCACATTGCAACTTTGGGTTAGGTGGAGTGCTCCCCCTCCATTCCTTTTTTTTTTTGTAATTTGCAGAGTCTGTGTCTCAGGGGACAAACCTCGAAAATTTGCATCAGCCATGTTTTGATGGACTTGCTTTTGTCTATCACCGTCTCACTACCAACCTCCAAGCGTCCAATGAGCTTAGGATCATTGTTGTACTTTTGCAGCAGGGATGCAACAACTGTCAAGCTGAGAGAATTTCTCGTCATGAACATTTGCAATTCAAGTAGATCGTTACATGAAACACATTCATCTTCACTACAATTGCTTACTAGTTTCTACTCTTTGGTTTAGGAGGTCTAATTCCAAAGATAGAATGGAACCAACAGTTATGAACATACCTCATAGATACAACGTCTTCCACCTCGCTGCAGAACGCCATGCAATCCTGCCCAAGCCCAATTGTGTACTTCCCCTTGCTGGCACCGTCATGAGCCTCCAGCGCTTCCTGCAGACAATCAATGACTAAATGCATCAGGTGCCTACAACCATGACGCATAAACCAACACGTTGTATCCCCTTACAACACCACATCGAATTCAGCCCTGAACATCAGTCCTCGCCCCCATGTGTAACATCTCACAATGACAAATCCAGCAGGTGGATCGAACTTGAGGTTGACTCAAGTATTCTTATCAAAACAGCACAATCCTCCGCTAGCGATCCACACAATTTGTGCGAAAACGGCAGCGGGAATTTCCACTTCTCCAATTGATGCGAATGCGAATTCAATCACCTTCTGAACCCAAAATTTCACCTGCCAAACCGGGGTAAACCCCCCCGCGGCAGTAAACACTCCCCCCAAAATTCACCCACAGGGAAACACACATCGCCACTGATCTCCAGCTCGGGTGCCCGGGCCCCGGAGCCTCACATACGGAGCAGTATCACATCACACGAGACGGGCACGGTGGGGAACGCAACGAATCGGAGACTCGGAGGGATGTCCATGGCGAGGATCCCAACGTCCTTGCGCTCCTCCATCTCGGCGATCGAGACCCCACCTCCTCCGCTACCGCCGCGGCGCCTTCGACTGCGGCTGTGTGCGAGGCCGGCTCGACCTCTCGACGCTTCCGGCTCTGAGCGCTCTCACACGCGACGTCGCCTTTGGTGTGTGGGTTTGCGACTGCGTGCGCTCTAGAGCGAATCGAGATGCCCGTGGACGCGGAGCACGCCGTGGGCGTGGATGTGATAGAGGAGAAATTTTGGTTACTTGGGGCAGATACATGAACCCGGCCCGGCGTATTTTGCTCATCTCGAAAGACAGGCTTCCCTTCCGTAAGACCAGCTTCATCCCTCAACAATCAACACATTTTGTTTCTCAAAAAAAAAAACACCTTTTGTGATGCAGCCCTGAAGCAAAGCTACACAGAAACTTGACCATCTTGTGAGAGCTTATTAGGTTGTTCGATGAAGGTAAACCTGTTAAAGATGCAAGATCTCTCTTCATTTCAAATTATGAGTCATTTTAACTTTTTTAATTATGCATTAGATATCTATCGCTGTTGCATGCTATTTCATGATAGCACACACAGTGACGGAGGGTGAACCAAAAATCAAGGGGGGAGGAGGGGTGTGGGGTGGCAATTGCATAACTATCAAAACTACTCTTTAGTAAGATGTCAAGCAGTCTTGGCTAGGAATCATTTGTTATCTTCTGACTAAATTGACTATAGTCGTTTAAATCTTTTCAACAATAGGGGACGAAGGGACAGTTTCATCTCCATGAGGCTCCACAGTTGATGAGCATATGCTATTATCTGACTGAATTTACTATACAAGCTATTCAAATCTTTTCAAATGTAGAAGGGGAAGGCCCAATTTCACCTCCATGATGCTCCACACCTGAGTACATATCACTATATTATCAAACATTTTCCTTAAGTGTGGTTCACATTTTACGCTGGAGGAACTAAGCATGTGTAAATAATATTGAGAAAATATTTCTAAGAGTACATATTTGCAATATTTTCAACAATATCTAAGAGTTAAAACTTGTATCTAGCGGCATGTCAAAGATGCAATAAGTTTGAAGGAGATAGCCAGATAGGTGGCCCAGAAACTAGGAGAAGGTAGAGTCAAAAAAGGGCACCATAGCAGGAGTCTGGCGGCAGGAAACTTATATGCTACTTCCACTGTCTAAAAAATTACAAATCTCGTTTCTCGAGGAGACTATCAATCTTAACTTTAACTTAATATATATATATATATAATATCAATAGTTATGATACGTAATTAGTATCACTATATTAATGGCAAACTATATTTTCATAATAGACCTATTAGAGATACAGATGTTGATATTGTTTTGTACTCCTAGCCAGAGGACTCTTCTGACGTAAGAATGTTTGACTCGAGAAGTGAAATTTACATTCTTTATGGGATGGAGGGAGTACTCTTATTTAAAATTTGAAATAAAGCTAAGAAAAAGATAAAGAATTGATGAAGAAATCATTAACTTATATATGAATAAAGTTATTGTCTTAATAAATATAAATATACAATACAAAGAGAGTACTGATTTGTTGCACATACATTTTAAACATGAATGGTCAATAAAAAATACAGTTAAGCGGTTTGCTCCATAGGATTTTTTACGATCAACGGATAAAGAGAAACAACATTACCGAGGTATGGGCATAGATTGTGAGGCAGTGTGTACTCTTGCGTGTGAGAATAGCATGTGCTGATCGTCGTCACCAGCCACCACTCACCACATCCGTGGCCGCGTTTAGTTCGGCCAATTCGGCGCCGGTCGAATCACTGTACTATGTACCACCACGGCATTTAATACTCCGTGCATGTATCGTAAATTTGATATGACACTTCTTTTTACATTGGGAAGTAAACATGGCCCGTGTTCCTGTTGGATTTCTGGCTTTCTGCCCGATTCCGGCACGTGAGCTGTGATGAGCGACAATGACAGAACGATGTGTCAGTCTGACATCCACTGCACTCCTGCCGAACTCGAATAATTTTCCGTTCATGGCAACAAAACAAGCAGCCCATTTGCTCTTTGAAATGGGCCGAGCTGGGATATTTAGCTCAGAAGCCCACTAGACATACTTGGCATAAGACCCCGAATACAGTACGTACATAAAAGTGCAACTCGTGAGACAGGCAAGTTTGTGCCCTTGTATATGCTGTATGCACGTGGTATTCGTTCAGAACTCAGAAGAGTCCTCTAGCTAGTAGTAACGATTTAATGAACAATCACACAAGCTATACCATTGCAGTTTGACATGAATACCTACCACAATAAGTCATGAGCCGGCAAAGCACTCACAGCGAGTCATGAGATTGTAGTTTTTCGTGATTGACCTAGACTAAAAACATATACATATAAACTATGCACATATCCATTGTTATATTTTTATAAATGTCGTATGGCCCATTTAAACGTTACAAGTGTCTAAGCTATGTTCATCCAAACAGCTAAACAATGCTTTGTACAGTGATTAATTTGTCACGGTAATTTGCAAAAACGATGGGTGGTCTAATGTCAAGCATCCAGTGTTGGGTCAAGATCGCATATGTTATGGAATGAACCGGGACTAACCATTATGAGTAATAATTTACCTTATTTTAAGGATGATAATTACACGAAGATTGCCTTTTTGTAAGGTTGTCCTTTTATTGTTCTGCAAACAACGGACGGGAATTCGACCCCCGGCCTCATGCGCAAGAACTGTGCATCGTAAAAAAAAATCCCCTCACATATCCCAAATAAAAGCATAGGTCTCACATGAGCAACAGTATCATTGTGTATAGGTGGGATAAGTGTTCGGAGGTTTTCGGGGGCTGTCATACCCTCATGGGTCATATTTTTTATTGTTCCGCAACACTACATTTATTTATATGACTTATTTCACTAATACTAAGGTAAATGTTTTAATTGTTGAGGGACTTATGCCTAGACCTAAGAGCAACTCCATGAGTTCGTCTAAAACTATTAGTCAAATTTCTTGTGTTTAGCCATTGTGTATAATAGAAAAGTCCTAAAAAAAAGAGACTCTACAGCAGCCTAGCTAATTTGCCTCTTGTATATTTGACTAGCAAACATGCATGTGCGTTGCAATGAGAGAAAAAAGCTATAAAAATATATGTGTGTTAGATTTTTATTTATAACTTATTTTATGAAGTCTCTAACAACCATAATATAAATTAATATTGGTAATAATATGGCAATGCTTTATTTAATCCATATATCAAATTAAAATAGAATTTTGATAGATTTTTCTCTCATTGTAAAGACATAAATATGTACTAGCGAATATTACATAACTTTAGTTTCGACACTAACCATGTGTCGGTAGAGTTAGTATCAAGTTTCGTGATTCCTTGAAGAACACATGAAAATATCTATACCTAATATTTGTTTATTAGAGAAAGGTCAAGGTTTACAGAGTCATAATAGAATATTTATAGTAAATCGTGTATGTGCGTTGCAACCGAACCTACAGCTTATGGTGTAGCTAGTCACCATAAACAACTTGCGGTTCGGAGATTTGTTTAAGAATCGCGTCATCTATCCCAATACATGTTGGAGTCGGACGTTTTAGCATTGTTGGACACATCTTGTAGTCGAACGCTATATCATTATTGGACACATGTTGTTCTAATTCATATGAGCATGTGGTTACGAGTACAGCTCAGATTCAGCATCGTTGTTGGACTGGTATTGTTCTAACTCATATGGGCATGCGTCCAAATCACGAACAGGGTACAGAGAAGCGCAAGGGTATTGTGAGAAGTAAGAAAAGAAAGTTGGAAGAATACCTTTGACCTCTAATATCAAGCAAGTCTATAGATATAGATTAGATTGGACAACAAACTACTCAAGATTTCAGTTCATAGCTTCATTAGTCAGACCATTGATTGATCTAGGTTGTAATAAAAATAATTTTTTATTTTTAATCGAAACTACATCAAGAATCTAATGATGAGAATATTTATTTATTAGATTGGAGATAAATTTTTTTAAGATTTAGAGGCTCATAAAATTATATTTATATTTATTTTTTATGTTTATATGAAAAGCGGAATATAAAGAAAAACAGGCGAAAAAATCACAAAATGGACACAGAAGAAACGGACCAAAGACACTCCTCTAGAAAAAAAGAATAGAAAGAAGAACAGAAAAAGTAAAAGAAAAAACAGAATGGACATGGGAAATAGAACGAACGCCAAAAACAAATCTAAACGGGCACGTGAAACAACGAAGAGAAAAGCCAATTGCAAATGAAATAGAAAATGGAAAAAATTGAACGGACATGGAAAAAAATAATCGGACAAAAATTACCATAGGTGAGCAAACACATGGAAAACTGGACCAAAAATTATTATTACACGCAAGTTTTTCCAACTTTTACGAGGATGGTTCATGAGTATGTGTCACATACACGCAGTAATATATTTTGGAATCGAACTCTGATCGCGCTAGACGCGAACTATTATAACTTATATGAACACGGATTATACATATAAGTTCGGATCAAAGAAACTCTCCATTGTCTAATAGTTAGAGGGAGACAGTCGAAAAAAATAGATGCACGAAAAAAAATAACTGAAATTTTTGTCTCTTTATTATTAGGTATAGAAAACATGCTATTTTTGGATAATGATAACAAAAATTCATGCGAGAGAGGGACGCCGAACAAAAATTCACGAAGGAAAGAGGAATAGCGAGCGGCTGCTGCGTGCTATTTCTAGCGAGCGATAAGTAGTGGATTGATACAATACTTGTTGGAGTCTTGTTTTTCCTAAAAAAATCTAACGAGCTGTTCGGCTGATGGTTTCTGCGGCTGATAAGCCGGCTGATGCTATTTTGTTGTGAGAGAAAAACACTATATCATAACTGATAAGTTCTGCAACCATCAGCTGATGGTTAATGCAACCATTCTATAAGTCTTGCTGGAATATTATCAAAAGTGACTTGCTGGCTGCTTTCCATTCTATACATCGAGGGCATGTGTTCAAATTTA